GAGACAAATTAAAGTTTGTCTTAATCTTTAATCTAAGTTAAAATTAAGGGCTTTAATAATGAATGAAACATAAAAACTGCCATGTTACAAACCCAAAATAAAATATCAAAAAGTTGAGTTTGTAGATTTATTGAAGATATTCTTTTAAAATTTAGTAAGTTTTTCCTTAAACATGTTGATTAATACTCAACAAGTCTCCTGTGACTTTATCAAATTTTAATTTTTTAATGTAGAAAATAACTGTTCTGATTTTCTCTCCATAAAACTAAAATGCCTATTCCAACTTACTTCAGCTTCCCTCTTAATAAAAGTTTAATGTTTATTTGTACTCAGAGTTATCTTGTACTCCCATAATGCCAAAATATCTGAAGATTTAACCACTTCTGTGAACATCCGATATTCATTCCAGCATCCCTCCTGCTCAGAGACCAGCAGTTCAGAAAGCTCTAATATGTGCTATGCTTTGACTATTACAAAGCAGCAGGGGGAGCAGCTAGAGAAACGGCAAAGACAAAGCACCCTAGAAAAGCAATTTATAGGCAACAGAAACATGCTAGAGATGTTTGTTAAAAACCATATATACAAAATAAATTTCATAAAGAAATTATGATCACATCCACAAAACTGGCGTTAAGAACATTTGGAATGAACTAAGGAAAAACCTTAAGTCTGAGAAGGATGCTTGAATTCTAACTTCAAGACAGACTCAGCTTGAAACACGGTCATTTCCAACAATGCCAAATCTCAGAGATGTCTCACAATTAGAGAGCAGAAACAAAATACATTTTTGTAGTCACGTGTTTCGGGAGGACGTAAAATGAATTTTTATCTCTTTCAAACATCACTGCACTTGAAGGGCTGGCAAAATGTGCATTATGAGGGCTCAAGAGGATAAAGCTGGAGGGTTCTATAGTATGATCCCTGAAAGCTCTCCTAAGCGTCTTTACGCCACCCCCATCCTCAATTTACTTTCAATGAGAAAAGTATAACCAAAACCACCATTAAACTATTCTGCATTAAGAACAGACTAAAAGCTTTGCAAAATCTATAAAAAAGAATGGAAAAATGCCTACCAATCTCATATTACATTTCTCATATTCTAGAAATTAATAAGGGTTGTGTTTTCAGTTTTAGAGTAAAACAGAAGAAATATTTATCTCTTCTGGAATTTCATAACTGGAATTTAAGAAAAGACTAAATTTCTAATTGGAACTTCAAAATGTTTCTGTCTATATTCACACAATAAAGTATAAATATAATTTAAGCATTTTTATAATACAGCAATGTGTATTAAAGAAAGTTATCTATGAATTGTACTAAAAAAAGAAATGAAACTTAAAATATCAAATATAAATTACAACTGAATGGTATATATACATACACGCACACACATATACATATTAGTCAAAAGGAACCCTGATGGTGCCCTGGTTAAGCAATCAGCTGCTAACAGAAAAGGTCACCGGTTCGAAGCCACTGGCCACTCTATAAGAGAAAGATGTGGTGGTCTGCTTCCATAAAGATTACAGCCTTGGAAACCCTCTGGAGTAGTTGTACTCTGTCCTATAGGGTCACTACGAGTAAGAATCGACTGGATGGCAACGTGTTTATTTTAGCCAAGTAGACAACCAATGAAGTTTGGTCTAAACCCCAAATAAGAACAATAACAAAAGGGATAGTGCCTACTATTGTCAGACACTGCATTAACTATCTGTTTTATACATATTCTTTCTAAGCCTTATATTGACTTTTAAAACTGGTATTGTTATGCCCATGTTATGCTAAGGAAACTGAAGTTAAAAAAGTTTAAGTAATTTCTCTAAAGTCAGCTAGCAAAGGACAAAAACCATTATTTAACTTCTAAGTCTGCTACCTCCAAAGCCTTGAGACCTCACCAAAACTGCCGTCAACTGGAGCAATGAGGTTCCAAAGAAAATCTGCACAAATCTCAGGCAGATTAATGTGCTCATGAGGGTAAATACTGTAGATTTAACCACTCAAATTAAATGCCATCTGGATTCTCTTACTTACGCCACTTGGTACAAGCATTCTACATGTGCAAGTCAATGCTTGCCTTAGCCAAGAATTCCTAATTTTCTTGCCTCAATACCACTAAGAAGCAGTATCCACATTATAATACCAATTCAGGAACTATAGCTGTTGTTTCTAAAGCATAATTCAAACAAACAAAAAAACTGCTATTGGTTTAGACTTCTTAAGATTTTTTTTAAAATCTGTGAATAATTTGTTAACCCAATTAGTTGAATGGAATCAATTTCTTTCTTCTTACCACTCAAATCCATGCCCATAATAAATATTTTCTATTATCACTTAGATATTCTGATTTGTTACTAGTGTTTTTATTGTACTATTTTAATCGTACTACTTTAGAGTGAATTAGAGCAAACAGAAAAATGTCATGATTTCTCTAAGGCAAAAAGGGAATAACCTGAAAACATCAGTTGGTTGGGACAAGTACATGTAAAAAAGAATGGATGGAAAAACAAACAAACAAAAAACTAATAACCCAAAAGCAATGTTTCAAACATTCGTTCATACTCCAACCCATTAAAACCCATTGCCGTCGATTCCAGTCTTTTATTCATACTCCAGAGACCAAAACACCTCGTGGCTGTGTGATGCAAGCTGTACACACTTCCAGTTGAGACTTAAGGTGGGGCATCACACTGACCTTCAGATCAGCTGCTCCAACTCCACTTACAGCTCGTGGGAATGTGCCTTATTTGTGCCCTTGTGCCCTTGTTAGCAAGCACGAGGGTAACTTTACAATCTTTACGAAGAGCTTTCTTCTGTGTTAACCCTTTCTCATGTATTAAAAAGTCTCCTGAGTTTAGCACTCATTTAGAAATGAATGGGTTAAAAAAAAAAAAAAGAAATGAATGGCTTAGACATTAAAGGTTTAAGCAACAGTTTCAGCTGAGTTGAGTTTAATTTTAAAAAGAGATGTTACATCAATAATCTTTCAATCATAAAAGATAACAACTGCTGTAATAACTACATTTTGAAAAAGTATCTTCTCACTTTACCTACATTTTCCCTTTAACCAAATAATCTCACCTCCCATACGAAATCTATAAACTAAAGTAACTCAAACAAGCCTGATTTGGGGGCCTTTACAATGATGACTTAAAAAAAGAAAAAAAAAAATCCTGTCCTTATTTTGTGCCTTTAAAAGAAAGGGATCATTTTCAGCAATTACTGTTACCTAAAGTTTTCTTTTGCCTTTAGTCATTGACAATACATTATTAGATTTCCCATTAATTTTTAAATGCAAACACAGGTCTCATTATCAAGAGTATAGATTTTTAGAGAAAGTTAAGTGTAGCTGCTCAGGATCATTTTGCTGAAAAAGTACTATCAAATCATCTTGAAAACATAAGCAAATGCTGGCACATCTCTTCAGGTGCCTTCCAGGTTCTAGTCTTTCCTTTTGCTATACCGAATTAACCCAGACAACAGAATTAAGAAGGCAGGCCCACTGCGGAACATACTTAGGACACTGTAAATCTACCGCTATTATGAATCAAATTATGGAAAAAAAAAACCACTTTGTTGTTTTATAAAACTCTTCAGTGCCAAAGAGTTTGTTAGTTAAACGAGAACAATGGCAACTGAGGCCATGGCAGTGGGGGGAGAAGTGTAAGAAAGTCCTGGTAAGAGAGCGATACTGGGTCACTTTGATGGGGAGCTATTCCAAATGTGAGAAATGGGGCCCAAATGACAAAAAATACCAATTTGATCATCACTATGCATGCGGATAGGTTAGAGTAGAGGAAGGAGAACTGCCTGCAGGGGAGCTCCCTTTAAGTTTATTTATTTGAAGCCAACAGTTCATCGTTTTCATAGATAATGCTATCTATATAAGTTAAGACAATCAAGTGGAATCATAAAAAACAGCCTAAGGGAAAAAAACAGGTGGGATGAAAACTACAGTAAGCTAAAAAAAAAAAAATCACTCAATGAAATACATGTGCATATAGATAAACAGTAAATGACCTTGCACATAGGTGGCCAAAGTGACTTAAATATCTTTAAGAGGCAGCTACTACTAACTGCCACACAAACAAAAAGTTACCAGCCCTTACTGGCTGAATCCCTCAGCCATCTGCATCCAACACGCACATGCCTCCTTTCCTGTCTTCCTTGGCCAAAGAGTCATTAAAAACACACAGAATCCCAATTATTACCTTACATAACTAAAGTCAGAAAGAAAAGAAATTCCAAAAAATACAGGAAAACTGAATACACTCTACCTTGGTTCCAGGCTATTTTAAGGCTGCCTCAGCAAAGATTACTTCTCAGTCCCCAAAGCTCCATTAACAGCCAACACCAGCACTTTGGCACATATGGCACAAATGCCTGGTCGAAGCACCTTTACAAGTAAATGACCTCTGAAAACCAGACTTTCTCTCCCAGAAACAAAGGTAATGATCTAATGAGGCTTCTAACTTTCTTGATGAGCCCTGCGGATGTGCATGGATAACTGCACATACAAAGGTTCAGTTTCTACAGGGTACCCTGACGACTAGATAAAAGAGGTTTAAGGCTGCAAGTTCAGTGAACTCTTCCGAGTTTGAGCGTGGTAAATGGTGACTTCCAAGACATCAGCAATTCTAATTTCCAACTGGGGAATCCTAAGAATACCTTTAAATATGCAATGCTAATGGATTCTACTGGGTTTCTGCGGCAAGGGCAAAGTGTCCCTTTAGGAACTCCCTAAAAAACCAACCACTGTGTCTTGCGGGGAGATACTGCAAACTATGTCTAAGTTGCCTTTGGAAAATGTTTAATTTACCTGTAATGAGTGTAAGAGAGAGAGGAGACATGTTAATGGGAACCTCCTTCCAAGGAAGGGCAGTCAATATACAATAAGTGTGACAAATATTTGTACGCATCTCCCTGGGCCACGGAGACTGGTGGCTTCCCTACCGTGGGAATCAGTACCCTAGGGGCCTTGGTGACAGCGGAGACGGGCTTACCTTGTTGGAGGCCATTTCACTGACAGAGTGCCTGGTTTGCAGGGTCTCTAGCTGGTCTAGACACCAGTCCAGCTCCTCCAGGGTCTCGCTGGCCAGTTTTTGGTAGGCCTCCTCTGCGAAGAGAGAGGGAAAGGGGGACTCAGTTCTCAGGCGCTTCACGGGGCCCACAGCGAGTTCAAAGGGGGCCATCCTGCCGTACCCCGCCATGCTCGGATGCCCGGTGCCCGCACATGGGGGCTGCTCCTTCATATTGCTGAGCCCGCCACTGCAAGGGGGGTCGAGGCTCTGCTCGAGGGGCGGCCGGTCTCGGAAAAGCACTGTCTCTCCAGCTTGGCGTCTCAGTTCGGCCTCCAGGGAGGGCGCGGAAAGTGCAGCCAGCCAACTTTTACACGGGGATAAGGGCAGAAAAACCACACTGGACTTGTAGACGGTGCGAAGGGGCTGAGTCCTAGTCCTGGCGCACAGCTTTGGAGGAGGATGGCGAAGGGGGTGGCAAGCGCGCCTCGGTGCCTGCCCCGCAGAGGGAGCCTCTGGTCCACGTCCGAGCTCCTCGGTCTCTGGACCCAGACCGCGTCCCCACTCGCCCCGCGCCCGCCCGCCGACCAAGCATCCGCGCGGCGCTAGAGGCGAATGAATCAGCCGCGGCCGGGTATGCGGCCACCACGTTTCCTGTTTTCTTTCTCAAGACCTCGGGCGGCGGGCGCAACGCGGCTCCATCGCCTCGGCTTTCCGGGAACACTCCCTTTCACGCCCCTCAGCGCTGCCTGACTCCTCCTCAACCTCCTTAAAAAAAACAATTCAGAATTGCAAAAGCCTGCCCCTGCCACCCGCAGCGACCCTCCTAACAGCCTCAGCCCCAGGCAGCCCCGCCGCCTCGCAGTGGCATCGCCCAGGGTAGCCGGGCGACGCTCGCTTTGAAGCGGAGCCCGGGAGGCACGGGCGCGAGCGTTGTGTGTCTGTGGGTCTGGTGTGTGTCTGCGCGAGGGGAGCGGCGGAAAACCCGGCGTGGAACACCCGCCACCCGGGGTCGCGTCGCCCGGGGTCGCGCCCGCCGCGGGATTCAGGCGGCACTCGGCGCGCACGCACGCGTGGCCGCGCACCTGCCCCGCTGGTACTCTGCGCGTCTCGCGGAGCCGCTGTCCCTTCCAGGTCGCCCCGATTGCCCTTACTGCCCAAACTCACTCATCGTTTCCACCACTGGCTGTTTCCAGCCAGGTTTCCCAGGTTTCGTGGGAGAGGCCCTCCGGCGGCACAGACAAGGTTATTTAGGACCCGCGCAACCTCCTCATTTCTGAGAGTTTAAGATTTACCTGGGTAGGGTGATTCTGGGAATAAAAGCATTTTTATTCAGATCAGACTCTTCCAGTAAAGCCTAGCCCCTGCTAAGTACCAGACTTCTAATTTTGGGGGTGGACAAAAACAAGCAAAAACACAATGTTGTAGGGTCGAAGTGCTTTAGAATTTACAGATATGACAGTATGCTGCATTTTCATATCCAGAATTGCCTAAGAGTTATCTTAAAGGAACAGCAACATGAATGCAACACATGGTATGGACAATTTGCACACGTCCTGCGTGCGTGCTCCCTTCATCTGTGGAATTGCTAATCAGAGACAGGCATGGTTTTGTGAAGCCAAGGAAGAAGGTCTAGAAGGGCGATTCAACCCACCATTCGCAGAATAAACTACTAACATGTGAAAGTGAAAAGACTACATCCAAAAGCATCATATGGAAGTCGGTTCTATTTGCAAAAGCTGATCCAGGGGACCAAGGCACCTCTTTATAAATTGATGGGTTGTAGGAGAATTTCACCATATTAACTTGTGGATAAGGTGAGAAATAAAACTCCTAAGAGCCATTTCAGAGAACTTCGTTATTGACAATTAGAAAAGATGCATTGAAAAGCTTACATGAAGTTGTTGGGATCCCTTTTCTTTGTCTTCAGATCTACAGGTATTGGCAAAGAATAATTTGTGCCCGTGAAATTCAGACTACATAAATGATCAGTGGCACAACACAGCGTATCATGGACTGAATCTTAGGCTTCAGGGATTTTCCAGACAGATTTCTACATAAAATTTGTAAAACTTAAAGAATTTCAAAGTACTTGTTAAATATTCCACATGGCTAGTTGTTACCAAGGATTCCTGAACTGTTTGCTATTTACTTTGAGAACGCTAAAATTTACCTCTTTTATTCTAGTCTTTTTTTTTTCTGTACCGAACTCTGTAAATATATACTTTAGATGAACAAACAACTGCTTAAATCTTGCCAAAGGAATTGAAGTGTAAGATAGGAACTTTTCTTTATTGACAAAAGGAACAACCTTAAAAATAATTTTAAATAGTAAGTATAAAATATTTTATCTGTATAGCCTTTTCCTGATTATGAGAATATAAAAACATGCTTGTTATAAAGATTGAAACATTACACAAAGACATAACATAGGAAGTCCCTTGTAATCCCACTCCCTAAAGATCACAAACAGTAATTAAGTCTATGACCCTAACATAACCATTTTCATTTTACTTAATACCTTCCATATGCGAGTATAACATTACCTAGTTGTGATGGCTGTACATCTACCATATGTTGGGATTTTTGTTTTTTGAGGGGAAGGTTATTTTTCCTTCTTCTTTTCTTTTTTCCTATCTCTACTATATAAGATAGGGTTACAGGAAATTTTAAGAGGAAATTAACTTATTTTAAATCATTTGCGTTGACCAAAGTTAACACCTGCAATGGGTTAAATATGCATTAATTAACACCATTGTGTCTGGAATCTGTTCACTGCCATCTTTCCAGTTGGTGGTTACATCCTGAAATCAAGAGTCCCCTTTCTGTACCTCTAAGACTTTGCTTTCCCTTTTCCTCACCCCTATACTCCAACTCTCCCAAAATCTGAGCCCTAGGGGACCTCTCAGAAAGTAAGTAAAGCTCCTCCTCATCTTCAGCAACTGCTCAGAGCTTTTCAGAAATCAGAAGTACAAATACAGGCCTCTGACCTAACAGGATGTGGCACCACATATTATATTTCAGTGTTTATTTTTTAATGTGGAAATATAGTTTCAGAAAGTTTCAGGTTAATGCTTCAAGACATCATGCAGTTAAATACAGAATTTGCTCTTAAGAAGGTAGTATAGCGACGAGAGGGGCAACTTTCTTTCACAAGATCCATTTTATGCTCAAACCATGGATTAGCTACTTTGACAATCAACATTTGGGTATAAACATAATGTACTTTGTAAATATATTTTAAGTTTTAACATATTCTGTATGATCTAGAGAATGGTGGGAAAAATGACTCAGAACACATCCACATACCAGTAAGTAAGAAAATAATTACTAACAATGGAGTAAAGAACAGTTCATTCTATAAAACTATTGCTCAAATAAAGAATTATTGTTGGTATTAGCATACCACTGAGAATACTACTTTTTCTAAATTCCTAGGTTAATAGGCAATATGGCTAGCCACAGTTTTTCAGGATCATTATTAAAGCTTAACTTTCAGGAATTTGAACCCCAAATGTTCTAAGACAACAAGTAACTAACCTTTTCATCCCTACTGAAAAAGCCTCAGTGTGGGATTGCCAGCTATCCTGCAGGAAATTGAGTCACCACACCAAACAACACACCTAAATGTCATCGACCACTAGCTAGCAGGGCAAAAACAGTGAGTCAGTTGAATTTTGGGTTTTACCAAGAATGTATATTGCATTCATTAAGAAAATACTAACACCCCCCCCCCCAGTAATAATCGTTGTGGCACTAGTTAAAAATATAGGAAAAGTCTTCTTACAATAAAACCTGTGAAAGCCAGAACCTGTGTAAGGCAGAAGCCTGTCAGAGAAGGAAATTCAAATAGTTACCACTAGCAGAGAGCAATAGAAAAACGGTAAGACTGTACCCTGTCAAAGGTGGAAAATTTGAAAGACTTGGAAAAACAAGACAGTTCCATTGAGCTCCGGCTTTCACAGGTTTCACTGTATTTGTCTAAAATCTTGCTAAGCCAAGGAACTAACAGGAGAAAAAACTTTGAAGCAAAAACTGTTGGCTTAATTCCATAAAAGCTAGGAGAAGGCTATAGAACAGCAACTGAGAAATAATTTGAGCCTTTGGAAGTCCCCTCCTACAGCTGCATTGGTTTTCTTCAAGGCACCCTTGAACTATGTCACACCTGTGGTTCTTTTCAGGATCCTCTGTGAACAAACAGTCCTCAACTCTCGCTGGCCAGCACTTGGCTTCCGTCATCGTGATGCGCTCAAGGGTTCCCCTGACACATGGCCTGAAACTCTGCCAGGGGCTCCAGGAGAAGATGCTGAAACAGCAGCTTCTTTTTAAAAAGGAAAAAAGCAATAGCCTCAAGAGCCACAGCAGTTAGCTAGAGGTTGAGGTCGTTTTCTTGTGAAATGTTCAGCCAGTTACACTTACCCACAACTTACAATGTTGTTGACCATTGAGGTAACCGGATCCACTGCACGGGAACATAAGACTTGTGTGCATGTTGGTTTCCTTGCCAACACTTGAGGAACTGACGGTCTGTATAGGTTCATAATTCCTAGACAGGCTTATTTGTGTAAATGAGGAGAACGGGTCCAGAAATGTATCATTTACTTTTGACATTCGTTGTTTTTAGGTGCTGTAGATCTGATTCCTACCCCTAGCAACCCTATGTGAGAGAGTAGAACTGCCCCATAGGGTTTCCTTGGCTGTAATCATCACAGAGGCAGATAGCCAGGTCTTTCTCCTTTGGAACCTCTGAATAGGTTCGAACCACCAACCTTTTGGTTAGCAGCCGAGCGTTTAACCTTAAGCCACCAGGGCTCCTTTTTTTTTTTTTTTAACTTGATTTAAAAACAAAACAAAATTATGACAGCTGATTCAGATTTTTTATTTTAAATTAAAATATTTCACTAAACAGCTCCTAAGAGCAAATAACTTAAATATGTTTTCCTAACCAGTGCTTCTTCTTTCCTAACTCCCTCTTTGTTCGTAAGGAAGGAGTTGCTAGTGTCTGAAGTAGGTAGAACTAGAAAAATGATTTCTATTTCACTTTGTATTGCTTTGAGCTAGTCACTCTCAGAGTTCATTACAGGAAAGAATTTTGTGC